AAAACTTCAGTCTAAATAAGATAGGATTAGAATTTCAAATCCTATCTAAATTAGGTCTTATACCATTATAAATACACAGGTTTGCTTGTTATTTTCTATGAACAAAAAAAATAAAATAGTAGTGTTTATATATAAAATATTTTTCTTGAGAAAAAATTGAAAAAATGTCAAATAACTTTGAGATGAATAACTCTAAGATGACGTTATACGTGGTGTCTTGTTGGATTTTTGCTGCTTTTGGTGGATTGATGTTTGGTTACGATATTGGTATTTCTGGCGGAGTTTCTGGTATGGATGATTTCTTGATTAAATTTTTCCCACATATTTATGAAACAAAGTTACATGCTATAGAAAATAACTATTGCAAATATGATAGTATGCTTCTCCAACTCTTCACTTCATCCTTATACATATCCGCTCTTTTCGCGAGTTTTTTTGCTTCAAAAGCGGCTACTAAATTAGGAAGAAGGCTTACCATTTCAATGGCGTCAATCTTTTTCATTGTTGGAGCTGTATTGAGTGCAGCCGCGGAGAACAAATCGATGCTTATTTTTGGTAGAATTTTGTTTGGTATTGGTGTTGGATTTGGAAACGAGACTGTTCCTCTGTTTTTAACTGAAGTTGCACCAATCCAACACAGAGGAGCTGTGAATATTATGTTTCAATTGTTTGTAACTATAGGTATATTCATTGCAAATCTTGTCAACTATGGAACTTCAACGGTACATCCATATGGTTGGAGAATGTCACTTGGACTCGCAGCTATTCCCGCGGTGATTCTGTTTATTGGTACTTTTGTTATCACTGACACCCCTACGAGTCTAATTGAGCGTGGTAATGAGGAACAGGGGAAGTCCACGCTCATGAAGATTAGGGGTGTCAATGACGTTGAGGATGAGTATAAAGAAATCGTGATAGCGTGTCAACAAGCCAAGCAAGTTAAGCAGCATTCGTTAAAGAAGTTGTTAAAGCCTGCTAGCATTCCACCACTTGTGATTGGTGTGTTGTTGCAAGTCTTTCAGCAATTTACTGGAATCAACGCTATTATGTTTTACGCGCCTGTTCTGTTTCAGACTATGGGATTCAAGGCTAATGCCTCGCTTCTATCCTCTGTCATTACTGGAATTGTTAATGTTGGAAGCACATTCGTTTCAATTTACCTTGTTGACAAGGTTGGAAGGAGGAAATTGCTTCTTCAAGCTTGTTGTCAGATGTTAATTTCTCAGTTAGCAATCGGGGCAATTTTGTTAACAAGTTTATCCGATACAGGAACGTTGAACAAAACACTAGCATTGATAGTGGTGGTGTTGGTGTGTACGTATGTAATGTCGTTTGCGTGGTCATGGGGACCCCTTGGTTGGTTAATTCCTAGTGAGACATTCCCATTGGAAACAAGGACAACTGGTTTTGCATTCGCGGTTAGCACAAACATGCTCTTCACATCTATCATTGCACAACTTTTCTTGACTATGCTTTGCACTATGAAAGCCTATATTTTCTTCTTTTTCTCCGGATGGATTGTTGTCATGGGATTAGTCGTTTACTTCTTCTTGCCTGAAACAAAGGGAGTTCCGATTGATTCCATGGTCGAAAGAGTGTGGATGCAACACCCTATTTGGAAGAAACTATTCTAAAATGTATTATGTTTTTGCTAAGTAGTTTTTTGTGATCAACATTTAGCTTTTGTTTGTTGGTTCAATTTTTGAATATCAGTTGTTTTTTTTGTCATCAAAAGTAGTTTAGTTTTTATTGGCAATTAAATCTTATAACATTGATCTTGGTATTTTACACATCTCCAAAACTTTTGAAAACGCTAAGTTTTAGTTTTTATTAAATATTATTTCTTCCGTTTCAAAAAGAATGGCCTTATCTCCATTTTAGTCTATTTCAAAAAGAATGACTCCTTTTCTTTTTAGACAATTTTTTAACTTTAACTTTCCACGTGGCATGTTTAAGGCTACAAGTTTAAAGGACATTTCTGATACATTTGACATAACTTTAATTTACAGCCACAAAATCAAAAGCCTTATTTCTTTTCTTAAACTTTGTTCCAAGTAAACTAGGTCATTCTTTTTTAAATGTAGGGAGTACTAAATAACTATACATGAACATTAACGTGTATTGATAAATAATCAGATGCCAATTCAATTTAAGAATGAAGTAAGGATATTTATGATTCAGTTTACATTATTTTTTTCTTTTTCCAGAAAAGGAAAAATTATGTCAATCAAGCCAATTCTTTTTAAATGTTAGAATCAAAACAAACTATTTAAGTAAATTTTTCATCGTTTTAATTTTTTTTGTAATTCAATTTTTTTCATTTTAATTTATATATATATATATATATATATATATATATATATATATTGCATGTTAAATAGGGCAACTTTCACATATAGCAAACATAAAATTCATATTTATATGTTATAGCAAAGTTTGTATATTGCACTCCATAGCAAACATATAAATGTATAATTCGCTATACATATATAATTGGAACGAATTATATAAAACGGAGTGTATAAAACGAGAAAGAGAAAGAGACTTGGGCAGAGAATTGTATAAAACGAATTGTATAATTAGTGTATAGAACGATATTATACAATTTGAATTTGTATAAAAGAGAAAGAGAGAGTCAAAATAAACTGGGCAGGTGAGTATTTTTATTGTATAATTATAAGTGTATAGGACGAAAATATATGTATTTGCATTTGTATATACAATTTTCTCTCGCTTTATACAAGTAGAAACGAATTTATACATTTCGTTTATGTTGTATAAGAGAGAGAGGCGAGGGTGGCGAGCGAGATTCGGGAGAGTGGCGAGCGAGATCTGGGAGAGAGGAGAGAGGGGAACAAAAATATATGTATTTATACAATTTCCTCTCGCTTTATACAAATAGAAACAAATTTTATACACTTGTGTTTGTATAAAAGTGAGAGGAAGCGAGCGAGAGATGGAGCCAGAGAGGAGAGTGGCGAGCGAGAGTTTGAGGGAGAGCGGTGACTGACAAACAGTTTGCTACGGAACACAATTAAATCAAAGGGTGGTTATAGCAATTAATTTGATTTATTAGTTTGTCATTATATACAATTTTCCCTTTTAAATATATTACATCAATGAGAATTATCTAAATGTGTTACATAATTTATGTTTTTTGAGTATAAGAATTTTGAATTTTTGAGCCGAAGTATTCAAATATTTATTAATAAGCATTTATATAGCCGGTTTGACTCGTCATTACGATTATTTTCTTACTTAGAATTAAATAAAATATCGAAATGAAGCCTCTTTTCAGCATATCGGAGTTCGATTATTATATTAGATCGAACTTTGAGAGTTTCAAATTTTTCAGAAAAGATGGATCAAAACTTATCGATTATCAAAGTGAAACTTTGGACATACTGAAGTCCATCCCTTGTGAATTGTTAGCTCATACATACATACATACATACATACATACATACATACATACATACATATATATATATATATATATATATATATATATATATATATATTAGTTTCTGAGCACGTGCTTCCGTGTGTGTTTCATGTGAATTTTTGTAGATACGTTAGAATGACAAAAATTTCATTAAAATATATATGTAAATTGTAATGAATAATAACACAAAATAAGAATGAAGACTTAAGGCAATGAAATATTCATAGAACACTAAATTAAGAAGAGAAAAAGAAACAAAAAGAAACAAATTTAAGAAAAAATAAAGTGTAGACATTATTCTTATAAGACTGATGTATATATAGATGAAAAAATTAGTACATAACATTAAGAGTATAAAAGTTGAATAAGTAAGTAAATAATAATAATAAATAAATGAAGAATAGAAAAAAGAAAATTAAACTTAGCAAACCATTTAGAAAGAATAATTAAAGTTCTTATCATGTAATTAAGCATCAATTAATGAATTTAAATTTGTGTCATTCTTTAATAATAATTAAGAGGACCTTATCAACGTATGTGTCTCCATTTTGCAGATTTGCACCATTTAAATTATCAAATTTCGGTATTTATCATAAATGATAATACTTTATCCACACAAATTATATTATTTATGAGAAGAGGAAAAGTATAGTAATTCAGGTAGAGACTTTTTTTTCAAAAAAAAATTACAATTATTATATACATAGAGATTATAGATGATAAATATAAATAAATTAGATATTTAATTAGGAATTAATCTTAGAAAATCTAAAAGTCATTAACATTTTAATCAAAATCATACAATCAAATATTTGAATATTTTATAACAATTTAACTTATAGAAGGGGTAAACCCATGATTCAACTTTCAACTTTTTTTGTTTATGCTTTTAGAAATATATGATATGATATGATTGTACGAAGATCAGTGATTGAAAGCTAGTTAAAAAACTTAATAACCTTGAAATTTTGCGTTTAAGACAAGTCCAGGATTCATTGGAGGAAATTTAGTTTGTGATGTATGTTCTAACCTCTACAAAGTTGCTCAAGAAATTAATCGTTTCAAATATGGATTATCGCCTCGTTACTTATTCACAATTAAGGTGTGATGCTATAATTGAGATTCTTTTCCCCGCTAAGATATTAAGATAATTTGGGTTGGAGTCACAAGAAAGAACTTTTTGGTAATAGTGTTTTACCCCCCTTAATGGACTTTTGAACTACAATAATTTCCTATTGTTTGGTGATTGTATGACAATTTTACTACATACAGTTCATTTTCCATACATTTTGACTGTAGGGTGTGTTTGGTACTAAGGAAAATATATTTTTTTTTAAAAAAATAAGTAATTTGTTTTTTGCTTGTTTCTGGTGTTTGGTAAATGAGTAAAATAAGCTTTGTATATCAATTATGAAACTTGTTTTTCTCTTTTCCCAATAGTGAAGTAACTTTCTTGATTTTTAACTAACTTGTTTTCCACTCATCCATACCAAACACACTTGTAGTGAAAGACAATTATCTTACAATTGGACAGCATAAGCATTGGTACAAGCAGTTGGTTAACAGATTTTATCTGATTGTTTATGTTCAATACCAAAGATACAAGCTTTATAACATCAAAAGGAATGAAACTGACATATCTTGACTTGCTTCTACAAATGATATATCGCGCAAGCTAGGGAAGTGAAATCTATTGGAATAGAAAATAGTGCAACTCGATCAGTATAAGAATAAAGCGAGGTAAGTCATTGGCACCAGAAAAGTTGGGTTAATAACTACACAGACATACCTAACAAAGGTAAATCAATGTTCTTAGCTGATCACGCCAAACTCCTTATTCTGGCTATGGAATTAAGAACGTGCTCGTGTTAACTTAAACTAAGACTTCTCTTCATCTGATTGAGGACATGCTGCAGGCCCTGGGGCAGCTTCAACATCAACGAAGAACTCCTCAACTAAAACAAAGCCAAACAAAAAGCATAAGAAGGATTATTTCATACTAAGAAAAGCATAAAAAGTTTAGCTCGATCGAGTCATGTCATCCTTTAGCTATGGGAAATGTTCATGCCCAAGAAACTTATTCATGATCCTCGAGACAGGTAACTTTTCTAGACATGCCTTGTTTCCGGGTAATAACATTGTTTCTTGTAATAAATGTTCATACCTTCGTTGAGAGTGTAAATTTCATATGCAAATGCAAAAACTTTTTTTTTTAAGGCCATGGAGCAATCATGTATCAGTGTTTAAATATTTATGACTAAACCATGTCATACAAGGTATGAAAGCAAGACTGCATTCACAAGGATCAGGGTCGTATTCATTACATGTTTTCAAAGTAAAGAAAATGAATTCCGATTATAAGAAGACTTCAGCTGTTAAATCCATCTAAATAGTACAGAACTTAAAGCTAATGCTTTTTTGAACTACTCAATCTGCTTTGATTCAAAGAATAAGACAACACGGGCAAGAAAGTAGTAAATTCTCACCTATATCTTCTTGTTCTGGAAACGGGGAACCGGGATAGTTTCCTAGAGATCCTAAATCTGCAATTAGTGTTGGAGCAAAAATTACCATTAATCAGATCAAGTAGGGGAAAAAAAGACAGGAAGATCATGCATATATGAGAACTAATAATTCTAAGAGCAGGAAAGGAATCCTGAAGTTCAGAACTTTATGCAGCCAACACAATTATCAACATCGAATTAGGCCTGGGTGAATCGGGACAACCTCTTTGAAAATGATGTCCAATTATGCTTTCCAGGAGTTGTGCTATTAATAATATTTTTGAGTTATGTATGAGGAAAGTTACCTCCCAAGTTTGATAAGTCTGCTGTTAGATCCGAAAGACTGAAATCCCAAGGAATTTGATCCAAGGATCTCAGCAAATCTCTAGAATTACCAACACCGTTATCTGGTGGAAGTTGCAATCCTACTGAACTTGCTACGTCAGATGGGAACGAAGAGTCAAGCACTGATGTGTCAATTCCCATCCCTGAAATCTCCGAAGCGGTGAAGGGGAAGTGTCCACTGGAAGCTACTGATGCAGGGCTTACAGGCATATCAGACATGGCATTGCTAGGTGGAACAGCTGGTGCTACATCAGATGCACTCGTTTCTACCACCATACTGTCAACAAGTAGGAAAATGTAAAGTGACATTTGCCATACCATTTCTTTTAAAAATCTATTATAGAAATAGCTTTTATTATTTTAAGCCCATAAACATATTTGACCTTGTATATATAGTGTAATTTTTGGACAAATGGGGTTCAGATGAACCCCTTGCGGCACCCTAGCACCATCTCTGAGTTAAAAAAATAAACACAAACACGCGGGACTGAGCAGAAAAGTAGTCTCTTTCACCAACCTTACTGCTACTTAAACAACGAGAAGTGGCGAGAGTTCTCACCAAATTCTATGAAGCATGAAATATGAATCATAATAGGGAATACACATCGAATTGGGAAGTGTTTATGGATTTTTTTTGGAGTTCTAGTCTCACATTTCAAGGTTTAGAAGGGAGTTTAAAGCCAATAAAAAATGAAATCTCACTCATTTCCAGAGTTCATTTGCATTGGATGATAGTTGCTTGGTGCAGGCACACCATTAACCACATGGCAACTGGACATGCCCATCGGATCAAAATGAGGTTGACCTGCAGCTGGATGGGGATGTTGTTGTAGGACGGGGTATCCCATGGGTAAGTTGTTGACTGCACTGAAAACAAGAGGCAATCAACAATAATGACATAAAGTATACAAGAATATTGTTCAATAACTTCTATTGTATTAACTCGTTATGCTTCCTCTCATGGATGCCCCCATTTAGTTCTCCAAGGAGCAGTATTAATCCAAGTTAAGTCATAAATGCGAATGACACAAACTAAATAGGGAACTCAACAGAAAGCCTCTAACATCGACAGCCAACCAAATTAGTTTTTTTTTTCATGATATACAGTTGGACAATGTTAAAATGAAGCTCCTTGAAGAAATAGTTTCATTTTCCCAGAAAAACAAGTATGACTTCTGTAGATTAATGCAGTTTAAGCTTATGAAAAGGGAATAAAAGAGTACATGCCCTAGCTGAAGCAGAACCAACATTCCCGAAGGAAAAGGGTGATGGTCCCCATCCTTTTCAGAATATGAAACGGCAGGAAGACAAAGACAAAAAAAGAATATGAAATTGAATGAAATGATGTAACGGTAAATAAAATTACCTGGCATGGTATTTATCCCATTCTGCATCGGAGTCAATGGAACCTTCGGAGGCACAGGATATTTCATCAGATGATATTGATGCTCAAGCAAATGATTGAACAAGATGATTTGTTTCTTCAATTTAAGCCTAATGTAGTAGGCCCGAAAGAAATCTGCGTTTTCCTCTTCCAATTTTTGCCAAACTGTATTCAGTATGAAAAGGTATAAGAGACTGAGAACTGACACACATTATAACCAAAGTAATGATAAATATAAGAAAACATATTTCAATTAAGTAGCAAATACATAACCATTATAATCACCAACAATTTCATTTTTGATATACATACCAAGAGCTGTAAATCCGGGATCTATCCTTGCACGATTAAGAAGTGTTTTAACCACTTCATCCTTATTCATATACAATTGTAAGCAACGTTCAATCAAGTTTTGGACCTACATCACCATTTGTGTCATAATAAAGTTAAAGAACAAGGTGCGACAGAGAACGGAAACTTCCCCTACACACACAGACTTGTATAAAAGTATGTGTCTGAATAAAGAACTATCTTACTAGTTCAATATCTTCACGTGAAACTTTTCGGTTGTCATTGCCTGATGCAGAAACTGAAGCTGAATCTGCTACAGGTGTATCGGTTGCATTGTTCTGCTGGTCACTTTGGGCCTCATGAGAAGCCTGAGTTGAAGATTGTTTCTCAGTTGTGCTTTGTGGATCCTGAAGTTGTTACAATTAACAATATAAGAAAAAAAAAAGTTCCATATCTGAACAACAATTACAACTTACCAAAAGAATTTAATAGCAAAAATGGTTTCAGAATTTTCATATGCATATATTATTTGCTGGCTCTATAAGAAGAGAATGTTAATAAATAGTTAACTATAACAGGATAAAGAGGAACATCGTGATTACAGAACGGAGATTACTCAGATTTATAAAATAAGCCACAAGAGTAAGCAGCGAGTTAATTGAGTCATAACTTGCACTGAGAAACTTTTCGAAAAAAATAGATAGCATTGCCAAAAAAATGAAATTCCATACATCAAAACCAGAGAAAGACATGAAGGATCTGAACACATCAAAAGGAGACCTAGAAAGATATAAACACAAGTACCTGTGTGCTCTTCATTTTAGCTAACTGCAAGCACACTAAATATCTCCCTCAAGCTCCAATACGCCATGGCTATAACTTGTATTACTACTTTGAAGATCTCTCAATAAAGGAGAAGAAATCACCTGAGAACAAAATGGAAGAAAGATCCAAAAAGAATTACAAGTCCACAAACTGTGTAGAATAAGAAGATCAAACTTCAGGACATACTTTCAGGATAAGAAAAACAAACATCACGTTTTAGTACAAGGCACTCATATCTCTTTGGATCATGTAGTAAGATGAAGTTGACACAATATCTTTCCACTTCCGAGGAGCATAGTTGATCTACTCTAATTAGTGAACTCCATTTTTTGATAAAGTCAAGATTTTTGCACTGAATATCACACCAAGATAGTGATAAGGATCCATCGACCCATCTTTGCAAAAATGAAGGTTCCGTTTTCACCAAAAAGTATCAAAGAAACAAAAAATCTGGTTTGATTTTCTGTCATTTACAGCCAAATTGGCCAAAATGCACAAGAGGAGCTGCTCAACTTTTCATCTCTCCTCTTCCTAGCATCCATATTTTCCACGTACCATCTTGTCAAATAATTTTCCATTGTTTGAGATGCTCATATTTAAGACAATTCTATTACAAGGTAGTAATGTAGTTTTTTTAAGAGGAAGTTAACTGTATTACAAAAGCAGCATTAAAGAACTGCTGAAGTAATTGCAGGTTGAGCAAAAACCGAAAATCGAATACCTGTCTTATCTAACAAGGATTCTAAGAAGCTAAGAATTGATTCTGCATCATTTACAAACTCCTCCTTAGACCAATAAGATTACAAAAGCATACAATTAAACTTGATCTGTTTGATTCTGTTTGCCTTATCTTCAAAACATCTAGTGTTTCTTTCCCTCCACACTGTCCACCATATGCATGCTGAGATAGTCTTCCACCACTATGATTTCTTGTTTCTGATCTTACACTGTTCCATCAACTAGTAGTTGTGAGGTGTTACTTGGCATAACCCACATGCGATGAATAAACAAATGGTTTATAGTTGGTTTCTGCATCAAGCCCACATAGTTGACATCTGCTACATAGAAAGATACCTTTTCTTGAATATTTTGAATTTTTGATGAGTCAGGCAAGCATTATTGCTACCACCCGAGAGAAGCAGGTCACTTTATACAAGGTTCTAATGTAGTAACAGATGGTCCAAGTCCTTCCCATTCATCTAGCACATGTGACATCAACTTACTATAAACATCTCCTCTTCCTCAGATTATCTGACATTAGGTTAGGATCAGACATAGTATACCATATAAAACCCCACCTTTTGGTGTTATAGTATTCCACATTGACTTCCATGTGGTCCTCGTATCACCTCCATGGAGCAGGTAGTTATAATATGAATTCATCAAATACATTTGCTGCTTACCCATTTCCACAATATTGTCATTTTCCCGTACCAAAAGAAAGGTATTTTTTCATTTTCCCAATAGCACTATACATTGCTCTGAAGGAAACTATCCACTTCATCCCACTCCAATCTTGAATAGATCTCCGAAAACAATGCTTCCCCTTATGCTTGTCCTTCTTCCTTCAAGGTTACCATACCTTAGACTATGATTCTTAACTGTGAACCAAATGAGTCTTGAGAACTCCTTCAGTCCCCTCATGCTTCCCTCTCCACATGCACATGCGGCTATAACATTATCAAGGAAATCACTCATGCTCATGAAGTATTTTATCTTTATTATGACAAAGTAGTAACACTATAAAGTAATTGTTTTGGTCTATTCTATAGCATGTACCGATATGTGTATCATTTTTACAATTTTGATTTACACCTCCCTGCCTACATTTGTAATTAGGATTAAGGACAAAGAAAGAAAACGATTCAAATGGATTTGAATTTAACTTCCTAATCCACTATCATGTCCCACATTGTTTCAATTTTCTTATCATCAGGATAAGAATATCTCACCCACTTCATCCTCACTCTTCTTTCCATCAGCTTTGGATGGAAATATGGTCATATGTCATCTTTTTTCACTTCCATATTCTCACTTTTCCTTTGATATTCTCTACATCCTTTTCTTTCACATTTCAGTTGATCTTTCCCCATTATTTTCACAGAGAGACAAACAAACTTACTGTACAACATAGTTGTGATCCTCAAGGCATGAAGGAATAACAAGATGAAATATTGAAGCTACAAGGGATCTAACACAACCTGTATCGCAAGAACATGGTGTCAGATGGGAGCTGGAATGAATATCAGTAGAAGTCAGAACAATGAATGTGATGGAAGGGACATTGTGAAAAAGGAGACGGTTCAGGGTAGAATATCCACTATTTTGTGGTGACTCGGATCATTAGCAACCCAAACATGCTAGAGTTGAGAAGCAATAAATTGTTATTGATCTTGTATACAAGAACTAAAACATCATTTCCACAGATGGCCACAACTGAAAAAGGAGGATCTTTCATGAATACAAAGTTCAAAATTTCGTTCCATCAGGGGAAACAAAAAGAAATCAATTATCTATAAAAAGAAGGTGCATAAGCATGAGGAACAATTTCAAAAATGCATGATAGTTTCTCCAATCTGTTATTCAACATAGAAGAGTTGGATGAGTATACTTGATAACTTTGCATCCTGTCTATCCAGATACTCTATGTGATTTACAACTAATTTCCCAACATGAGATGAGATTAGCATGGATTATCGAATAAAACCAAAGATAATTTTCAGCTTCAATCTGAAGGCTCAAATGTGCAACTCTCTAAAGGTCCCCGCTGTCTTTACTTACAAGTTACATTCTGCCACGAATCTAAAAGAATAAGCAGCAGCCATTAGATATAGATATGAGACCTCTTGGGCTCTGTAAGGCGATCAATTGCTGCGGCTTTAACTAACAACGCAACTAGGAGTACTCGCAGAACTAAACTGTTGAATATGAAAAGGATCTAGTTGAAAGAAGACTACCAAGAGATTGGCTTACTTGAATGAGCACAATACTTACCAACAACAACATATCCAGTGTAGTACCACAAAGTGGGGTCAGGAGAAGGTAGAGTGTACGCAAGCAGACCTTACCCCACAAACTTTAGCATCAGAAATATCAGTAAACAAGGAACCATGATAACAAAGAAGCCCTTTTTTTATCTTTTACAAGTAGAATGCATAACAAAGAAGACTCGAAAAGCTCCAACAAGATTGGCTTACAAAAATGATCCAAATATCCACAAAGATTAATTCTTTTCTACAAAAACCATCACTTTGAAAGAAAAATCACCTGTACTATGCTGAACAGCGTAAAATACCCTTGCAGCAATATCCACATAAGAAATCAAGATAACCATCCCCATTTGAGAGAACAAATCAACAAAATTTCTGAACTAGGAAAGATCAGATATCTACATTGCAAGAACCTAATGTATCACAATACATAGAAGCATAAATCTAAAAGATCTCCAGATAGTTGCACACAGATTACTACTGCAAAATCAAGATTGTAGTACTAAAATGCTCCTCATGATTATCACCAAGTACAAATAATAAAATTCCCCAAAAATACAAGAATCCCATCTGACAAATCTCCACACTAAGCTCTAACCAGTGTAAAAGCAACACCAAAGATTGCATTTTTAACAAAATTTAACCCAATTCTTGAAACAAAAAAAAACCCAAAAATGTGCAAATAAGAAAATACCCAAAAAACAAAAACAGCCAAAAAATAAATAAAAATGAAGTCTTTGTATAAAAAAGAAAAACAGCAAGAGAAAACAAGACAAACCTGCAGTTCCAAGTAGCAAACAAGATGCAAATTTGAGTTTGCCAACAAACTAAAATGACAATTCTTGAAGTGGGAATACAGTACTTTAAAGAAATTAAAGGTGAAAAGTTAGCATAATAAAGAAGAAGAAGCAGAAGAGGAGAAGATTGGGACAAAGAAAAAAAATGGTGTTTTTTTTTTGTTTTGTTTTTTGTTGGATGATTATTGGTCCTTTTTTGTTCAGTAAGATGTTGCTGTTACTGTAGCTGGCAAATGAAATAATGAAAAAATGGAAACTACATATTACCGCCAAACCATAGTTTAATATAACTAATTATTTGAACTATTATATTTTATTCTAATCATCCATTATAGTAGAAATCTATGTATCCTTAACTCTAAGATGAAACGGTTTAATTAGTTGATTATCTGAATCTTAATTTTTATTAGTGATAGCTTAATTCTCGAATGTGTAATCTCTTCTTTTTATTTTACTTCATCTTATCCTAAAACAACAAATATACCTCAATTATTCTACTTGCTTTCTTCATTTGTATTTGTCTATTATTTACGTTTATTTTTAATTGTCATAATTTTTATTTTTAGAATTAAATTATAAAAATTTTGACTAACATTTTGCAAATATAATTTTTCATTATATTGATATGCAAAAACTGCAATTTATAGTACTTTTTTTAATAGTTTTTTGAATATCTGAATTTTTTGTTTAAAATATCATATAAATATAATTTAATTTAACTTTGAAAGTTAGTTAAAATGGACGAAGGGAGTATTTAATATATTTCCCAAAGTATTACGTTTAATATTTTCAAAGGATAATGTGGTGATATAATCTCTATTATTTATTGTTTGTTAAGATCTATGTCAAAATAATAGTGAATAACTATTATTGGACATATAGAATATTTAAAATAGATATACTCCTCGTGAAAAATAATTATGTATATATATTTTTATTGTGCAATAAATGTTGCATAGATGCATATTTATCATTTTCATTAAAAAATATATAAAAATTTTAAAAACAGTTTCAAAATATAAAAAATGTCACATCATATGCCACCACCTCTCTTTCTATATATATCTTAAAAGCATGAACTTTTAACTTGAATGTTAAATTATTATAATATTTTTAATTTAAGTTGTGATTTTTTCTAAAGGGTAATAATTTTTCGATAAGTTATGACTTTTCCAAATAGTAGATCATGACTTTCAGATAAGACACAAAAATCACTTGTCAACCCTTTGTTAACTATAAATCGAGGTATGTCCTCCCATTTTTCAACCACAATTTTTTTTTATCTTCTGCTCTTCTTCTTGCATTTTGGGAAAAAAATTGAGTACTTGAAAAAAATAATTTTGATGATATAATAATTAATAATTATCTTTTTGTTTAGTATATACAATTAGGGGTGTGCATTCGGTTTTTCGGTTCAGTTTTATACTATTCGATTTGGATTTTTTATTTTTGATTTTGAAGAAGTGTAACCCAATCCAAACCAAAATAAATTTGATTTAGTTTGATTTTTTTCGATTTGGTTAAGCATTATGTCTATAATTAGAAGCATAACAAATCACGGGTAAAACGTAAAAGACAATACTTAAAAGTATATCAATTATAGATGTCCAAACATAAGAAAATAAACTAATCATAATCAAAATAACTAAAAAGGGACAAAAGTGATTAACTTCAATTTAATTCTCTCTCTCTCTCTCTCTATCTATCTATCTATCTATCTATCTATATATATATATATATAATTCATTTTTCGGTTTTTTAGATTATCATTTTTCTAAATTCGAAACCAGACAAAAAAATAAACAAAATAAATTATAAATTCAAAATCAAACCAAGAATCCAAAAAACCAATCCAAATTAGAATTCAGTTTGATTTGATTTGATATTTCGATTTAATCCAAATATTGCACACTCCTATAGACAATAGTATGTAATGTTTCAACATATAAAGTTAACATGATATAGTCTAAATTTATATATTATTGTTAATAAGTTCTCTTGGTGATGTAGATATATATGTTTTTTTATATCTTTCAAAAATTATTAAACTTCTCAAGATTTAAAAAATTTGACACAATTTATTTTTTTGATACTCAAAATAAAAAATAATTTTTTTTATCAATACTATTATAACGATTTAAACGGTCGTTATTTAAAAAAAACTGGACCCTTCATCCCGCCAGAGCAGGGAAGATACCGTCTACTTATTTATCTGTTTTTTCAATCCAAAGCAATGAAGTAAAATAAAGCTGGCTTGTTAGTTCCTAGTTTATAAATTAATCCGAAGAACAAAGAAAAACAAAAAAAAAAAAGTAGTACATTTTGCAATTTTCGTTAGAAAAGATAATGGATAATATTATAAAATAAAGTATTCCTCTTTAGTTAGAAGATTTGTTTTTCAATTCACGATACTCCTTTCGTTTCAAAAAGAATGATCTAATTTAATTTAAAATGGTGTTTAAGGAAAAAAAGTTTTTTAATATTGTGATTCTAAATTAAAGTTATGTTAAATGTATCAAAATATCCTTTAATCTTATGGTCTTAAACATGTCACGTGAAAAGTTAAAATTAAAGTGTTGCAAAAAAAAAAATGGACCATTCTATTTGAAACAAACTAAAAAGAAAATAAAGTAAGTTCTTTATGAAAGCAAACATTGCAACAAAAAGATTGTGTTAACTATCGGTTATTTTAGTAAGTAAGTAAGATGGTTTGAGCAATTTTCACATATGTTAAACATAAAAATTATATTTGTATGTTATAGATCTTATAGTTATAGTCTAGAGTGTAGTGATCGGGTTAATTTGAATTTTTCAAATATTAAACCAACCAAATCGAATCAATAAATTTCAGTTTTTTCAACCTTGGATTTTTTTGATTTCTTTCGTTTTTTTTTTGAATTTTTTCCGATAAAATGTTCATACAAACATATAATTTATTTGTATTTCAAATAATTTTGTAGTCCTATCAAAATTCAACTATCTAAGGTATTTTTTAAGAAATTAACACCAAATATGATATGATTAATGACACTAAAATATCCAATAAGAAAATAAAGATGATGAAATCGTGTAAAACAAATATTACCAATTAAAACAAGTTATAATGAAAATAATCATAATTTAAAGTATTAAATCATGCTTAATAAGTTATATAAGTATTAGTTACATTACTAAATATCAAAGGAAATTAAAACTAGATTATGTATTTGAATTGTCTAAACCAATTTAAAATCATACAACAAATATTCAATATTATTTTCATTCATATTGTTGAATTGATTTTCTTCTTGCATTAGTTTTAATTTTGATTTTTTATTTAAATTTTATTATAAGCAACATATCTGGACTATGATATTTATTGAATCATTTAGAATTCTAAATTCTAATAAAAAATATAAGAAATATTTACGAATTATATCAAAGTTAATATTTATATATATAAAATAAAATTTTAAAATTATATATAATATCGGGTTGGTTTGGTCTCAGGTTAATTTTTCTTTTTTAGTTAAAATCAAACAAACCCAGATATAGCCGGGTTCTTTTTTTTTTCAATACCAAACTAAGTCAAACCAATCACTAGTCAGATTTTTTTATTTGATTTTGGTACAATTTTATACACTCCAAATGCTTCATATGACTTATGAAGCAAAAATTAATTTAGTAAAAAATGTTTAAATATTGTAAATTATAATAAAGAAATTTTACATACAAGTAATTAAAGTTCTTAAATTCGATACACAGTTTCTCTGGTAATCATAAAAGTTGAAGATATAAGTTGAAAACTAAGGATTTAAAGTTTAAATAATAGCAAAGTTTTTTTTTTAAAAAAAATTGTCCAATTTAGCACTAAAAGTCTATCAAATTGACCTCTATAAATGTGAAGTTCCCAACAAAATTAGATATGAAAATAGTAATATAGATTTTGTAGTAGTATATAAGCACTCAACCTGTTTATATTTACTTTTCCATATTTAATTTAATACAATTTTAAAGAAGTAATAAATAAAATAATAAATTTTTCTATATCACTTTAAAATTATTTTAAATTATTTAAATAATGAAAATATGCAATACATACTTAATAATAAAGATAAAATAAATAAATTATATTTTAACTTTTTAAACTGAATACGATCCAATCCATCAAATCGTGCGGACATCTACTTTAATATTTAAGTAGAAGAAGCTCAAATCCGATGTTTTAAAATTATGCGGAAGACTTAAGGAAACAAAGATAAAAATAAATTCAAAGTTAAGACTTATAAAGTAATTAACACCTCAAGGATCTAGTCTAAACAGGTATAAGAGTTACTAAGAGTATATAGTAAAAAACATAATAAGGAAAAGACACAACTCCCACATGCGGAAGAAAAAATAGAAAATGCTGAAGAATTGCCTTCATCTTCACCTATGAAACATAACTGTTCCTACAACCAGACTATGTCAAAAGAAATAGCAAGAGTAGTATCAATACAACCACACATACTGGTATGGATCATCGATCAACCCAAATACCCACCGCATAATATAAAAAATCAACTGGCAAAACATGCAATAAGACTAATCGCTCCTCCACCATTGTAATTTGCCTACCCTTACCACTAGCGTAGTTGTTTCTAGCCCCTTACTTGCTTCTTTCATAATTATACCTAATCATTCTATCCCTTGAGGAAATTTCAAATATACTACTACCAACTCGGCCAACCATTCATGATACATCCTTACGCTTCTCTCATCTCCACTCAACTTATAACCTCATATTACCCCTATCGAGACTTACTATCCGTTTATATTACCACACCCTCTCGGGGGAAAACCCAACTAGTAACAATATTACTAAACACCACCCCATACCTCAACTATAATATCCATGACTACATTCAAAATAACAAAGATAGGACTGGACCCTTAGTTCCCCCTTACCATATTATAATCTAAATTAGGACTCTACTATTCACAATTCATTACAGAATATATATCGCCAATTAACTTACCATATCACAATCCCCGCATATAAGAACACAAGGTACAATCCAATAATTACTTCATGAAACATGTCAATTCCACAGTCTCAAAGATATACATACATATATGACAAGTCATTGGTCCTTTTAATGGAATCCAAGCCCAAACTATTAGAGTTTCGAATCGTAACATCCGGTCCAGTGCAATATGTATGTCGGTACGTGACATTTGATCTTAATTAGTGTGTC